GCTATAAATGAAGAATTGGATATTGAAATTGAAAAGTTATGTAGGAGCACAGAGGACCTAGAAAAGTAAAAAGAATAAAAAAGTGTTGGAAGACATTTACTACCTAATTTTAAGAGTTCCTCTAAAGCTACAATAATCAAGGCAGTGTTGGTACAAGGAAAGACATATAGATCATTGGAATAAAACAGAGAATCTAGAAATAGAACCACACATATATGCCACATCTTACTGGCTACCACCTGTCAAAGGCAAGAGCAAAATGCTTTTCTGCCTCTATATTTACAGGAGAAAGTCTGGGGATGGAGTGTCTTTCTGGGGGACATTTTTGTGTTGCTGGGGGTTGAATCCAGGGTGCTGAGCATGGTATGCAAGGGCTCTATCACTAGGCTATGCCCTCAGCCTTTCAATTTTTTTTTTTCCTTTGGTACCAGGGATCAAACTCAGGTCCTTGCACTTGCAAGGCAGGCGGTGGAATCACTGAGCTAAATCCCCGGCCCTTAAATTTTGTTTTGAGACAAGAGTCTCACTAAGTTGCCCAGACTGGCCTCTAATGTTGCATTCTCCTGCCCCAGCCTCCCAGGTAGCTGGGATTATAGGCATGTGCCATTGTATTTAGCTGCTTTATTTTCTGAAAAATGAGACTGCTGGATATGACTGAAAATCATGGATCCAGATACAGGGAGATGTTCTCTCTTTTGCTATTATATCAATAGTCTTTTGTTCAGGTTCTCAGTCATTCGGAACCAAACAATGATAGACTATCATTTTAGGTCCACATCTTTAGGTTTTAACAATAGGTATTAAAAACACTTAGAAATGGGCTGGGGATTTAGCTCAGTGGTTCCACTGCCTGCCTCACAAGCACAAGGTCCCGAATTCAATCCCCAGTACCAAAAAAAAAAAACCTTAGAAATGACCCTCAAAATGAGCATATTTCAAAATATATGTTTAATCAAATACTACAAATACAAGTCTAGAAACATACTATGTTATACAGATTTTTTTTTTTTGGTTCATAAATTCAAAAACTAATTTTAGATGTCAGTGGAATGAAACGAAGTACTACACGTAGTTCAAATATCTTCTAATTTCCTACTTTTGTCTGTGTGGAAGGAAAGGAGAGTATTTCTCTCTGTGGTTTGAACAGGTCAGATCTTTCCTGGGAACGACTGAGATGAGAACAAACATAGTTCTATCAGTCCCCCTAGTGCCTTCCTCTCCAGCTCAGCAAATGACAAGACCACTTCAAATCCCGGCCAGTTTCCTATTCAAATATTGTTTAATTTCTGGAAATAGTAGCTTTTTATGGTGGGAGCTTATGAAGACATCTTTCAGCTACCTCAGGCAGTGCCTTACATAGAGCAGACTTTTTTTTGGTACTGAGGAAGGAACTCAGGACCTTGTGCTTGCAAGCCAGGCGCGGCACCGACTCCAGCCCTAGAGTAGACTTATTAATTCAATAAATTACATTAAATTAAATTACAATTAGAGTGAATCACAATTATATTCAAATTTAAACTACGCAGCAAATAACAGAGGAAAACCATCTTCCAAAAAAAATAAAGGTGAGTTGGGCATGGTGGCATATGCCTGCAATCCTAACACTCTGGGAGGCTGAGGCAGGAAGACCACAAGTTTCGCCCAGCCTGGGTAATTTAACAAGACAATGTCTCAAAATAATAAGTTGTTTTGTTTTTTTTTTTGGTACTGGGATCGAACTCGGGTCCTTGCGGTTGCAAGGCAGGCGGCAGAACCACTGAGCTAAATCCCCAGCCCAATAATAAGAATTATAATGATAATAGGCTAGGATTATAGCTCAACGTGAAGGCCCTGCATTTAATTCCCAGTACCACAAAAGGTGGGAGCAAGGAGGAGAAGAGAACAGCACCTTCCGGTTTCAAGAAGAGAAGGGGATTCTCCTGCTACCCCCTGCTGCTCTCATTCTGTGGCGCCCGTGCAGGGCAGGTTCTGCTTTCGCAGACACGGGCCTTAGTGAGAAAGGGGGAAGGTCCCGCCTTTCCTCTGAGCCTGGCTTTCAACAGACTGAACGGGAGAGAGGAAAATCCACCCCAGACAAGCTTCATTTGAGCGGGTGTTGGAAGGGAATCATCAGAACGTTACCCAAGTCAGGGACGCGCCGTCCGGGGTTAGAAAGCCCCTCTGAGCAGCTCACCTTGCGCCCCCCACGCAAACCCTCCCCACACTCACCTCTGCTGTGTAGATGTAGATGGTGTTGAAGTTCGCAGCCACCAGGGCTCTCAGCGTGAAGAGGAAGCCGATGAGGCCGGCGCTGGAGGGCAGGGAGCAGAGGGAAATGTTAAGCGGCCTAACCGAGGGATCCCAAAGCCATTCCCGGAAGTGTGCTGTTGCGGCCCCTAGAGGTGCGAGGCCTTGAACAACAGAGAGCTTGCAGCTGGCTCTGCGGCTGCCAATGATTGTTTTCAGGACCCCACCCCATGGGCACCAAAACCCATAGGGGGAGAGTCCCTTCTATAAAATGGTGCTGTATTTGCATAGCATCTTTAGATGACATACGGTACCTAATCCAAAGAAATGCTATGTGAATGGTTGTTACACTGATGTTATTTAGGGAGTAACAAGAAAGGGAAAAGTCTGTTGTACCTGCTCAATACTGATGCAAAAACCCTTTCTTTTTTGGATACTGGGGAATGAACCCAGGGCCTTCACTACTGCGCTACATCCTAGGCCTTTTTAATGTTTTATTTTGAGACAAGTTCTTCTTAAATTGCCTAGGCTGGGCTCAAACTTTCGGTCCTGCTGCCTCAGCCTCCCAAGGTGCTGGGATTACAGGTGTGCACCGCCACACCCACCTTGCAAATTGCTTTTTAAAAAAATATCTTTGATCTTCAGTTGATTGAATCTGTGGGTGACCACTCTAGGATTACAAATTATAAGTGAAATGATTTCCACATCACAGATAGGTATCTAAACTATCTTGGCATTCATCCAGATAATTTGGTAATTAGGATTGTTCTCCAGTTCTCTAGGGAGCTTTGCATAGAGTTCCTAAATATTTTGGTGGGTAAAGTGAGTACTCCAACATGGGGCCCATAGCCCATGGTAGCTGAAGTGGGCAGGGCCCATGGGAAGAGGAAGTGGACCTGCAGGTACCAGGCACGAGCCTTCCGGTCAAACAAGCAGCCCATTCTCTACTCACCCAGAGGACTCAACACCTGGGGTCTGGAGAAACTATTTGAAAACCACTGCATGAAATGTTCTCAAACAACCAAGGGAAAAAAATAAATACCTGGATGTACAGATATTGAGGAGAAGGAAAAATAAAGCCGTGCATCCCATGGTGACAGAAAGGCTCAGCCGTCTTCCAAGGAAATTGATGCCCAGGATGTTTAAAGGGTTCACTAGAAGGCAAACAGCAAGGGCGATTTCTGCAGTCTCAGAACACAACAGCCTTTACCAACTCTGGCATGGACTCATCCTCGTCACTTCAGAAAGCAGCAGCCTCATCCAGACTTCTCTGATATTCCTTCCACAACTCAGCTACATTATCACTAAACTCACAGCTCCTTCCATCTGTTCTCCCCACATGGGTCCAGGAATGCCAAGCCCTGGTTCATAAGGACATTTTACATGCAGGGAGCTCACTGCATCATGGAGTCTATGGTAAATGGCTGGGTTTCTAGGCCTACACATTAAATACTTTGTACTGTTTCTCACTGAATTCCAGATGCCATTGATTTTTTAAGTACCATCATTTTGTGTCAGGTAAAACAGAAATAATGCTGCCAATTGAAATCCAAATGGTGTGTTCCTATGTCCCAGCACTGAGAGGCTGAGGCAGGAGAATAGCAAAGTTTGAGTCCAGCCTGGGAAACTTACCAAGATTAGGAAGGAAGGAAGGAAGGAAGGAAGAGAGGGAAGGAAGGAAGAAGGAAGGGAGGGATGGAGGGGAGAAAAGAAGAGGGGAGGGAAGGAAGGGACAGAAATCTAACAAGATATTCACGTTTCAGAGAGGTTAAAGAGTGTGTGTGTGTAGCTTAGAACTGATGTAATACAGTGATCCAAAGCTTTGGTCCTTCAGGGCCCTCTTCCCCACACTAACCCAAACTCAAGACATACTGGAAGAATTTAGGGCCTTGTGCAGTTCCACTAGGCAGAAGCCATGTCCCAGGCTCACCCCTGTCTCCTGAGACTCGAGATGCACACAAGCCACCACCCCCCAAAAAAATCCAGAGAGGTCCCTGACACACACAGATACGTACGAGCAATCTCCCCAATGGTGCTGATGATCATGGTCCGGTAGTCAGAGGGGGCAAACAGGTGGCAGTAGCAGGGGCTCTGGCTCCCTTCTGAGTCCTCGCTGGGCACCGCTGCCTGTGACTCTGACTTTGCCCCACACACCAGGTCCCGCTCCAGCAGCTCGGCGCTCGCCAGGATGACCCCGTAATAGGCAAAAGAGATTCCCAGCCTAGACGTGAGAGAATATCACAGCAAAGCTTGCACTAGCCCTGAAGAATGAAAGAGAAACAAGCAGCAGAGGAAAGAAGGAGAGGGCATTTCAAGCAGAAGGCACAGGACAGAAAAGGCAGAGGGCCCAGAAAGCTGGGCTTCCGGTACCATCCAGTGTGTCAGTGCCTTTGGGAAAACACATGCATACATTGCTGTCGGGTTCACTTAGCAGCGGGATTGCTGGTCCCTTAGACACGCGTGCAGGTAACCCAGTGTACCGCGCCCACTGTGTATCCAGTTTCAGCTCCTTTACATCCCTCCCAGCACTAGGTACAGCCAGTCCTTTTCACTGTAGCCATCGTGGTGGGCTGCTATCTTACTGGTTTTAATCTGCATTTCCCTGGTGACTTTAGGTTGAGCATGTTTTAATATTTTTATCTTTTTTTTTTTTTTTTTGGTACTGGGGATGGAACTCAGGACCTTGCAAGGCAGGTGCGATGCCACTGAGCTAAATTCCTGGTCCTTGACATTTTAATCTAATGTACATTTTTGGTGATATGCCTATTCAAGTCTGTTGCCTAGTTTCCCACTGGGTTATCTAGCTTTATCTTGTTGAAAAATTACACATATCATATATATTATATATAAATAAAAATACATATATAATATGCTGTTATGGCTTGTCTCTAAATGTTCCCCCCAAAGCCTCATGGGCTCATAGATGGGGCTTTTGGGGAGTGGTTAGATCATGAGTGTTTGATACTAGATTAAGGGTGTGTGATACTGGATTAGTCCACTGGTTAGTTTAGCAGAGTTCTGGATGTGGAAATGGAAGCCCCACGCTGGGTATGAGTGGCACTATCCAATAGGCTTGTAGCCTGGATGGGATAAAAAGGAAAGGAAGGCTGCTGCTTCATGCATACCCTGCCATAGACTGTTTCTCCTCTGTGATGGCTCTCTGCCATGCTACCCTGCCTTGAAGCCAGCTGACTATGGATAAAACATCTACAAACCATGAGCTAAAATAAACCTTTCCTTCTTTAATTTATGAGTGTCAGGTATTTTGTCCCAGTAATAAGAAAAGTAACTAAGATATATGCATATTTCCAAATAATATATCTCCAAATTTCTCCTCCCACTTGGCAGCTTACCTTTTAGGTTTCTCATGATACAGAGTTGCTAATCTGATATAGTAAAGTCATCAACCTTGTCCCTTATTCTGAGCATTCTTTTAGTCCTGCTTAGGAAGTCCTTGTTTACTCAAGCTCAAGACTGTAGAGTCAGGAAGCAGAGAGGACTGCAAGAGGCTGCCCACTGAGTTTGTCATTGGGGACCTCAAAGGATTGGTTTTTGCCATGGGGTGAAGGAAAAAAACCAAGCTGCAAAAGGGCAGGAGTAGTACACACATAGGCTCACAAGAAACAATGAGGCATTGGTTGTAGAGAATCTGGTTTTCTTTCTTAAAACTTTACTTATTTCTATTGCTGCTGGGATGGTGTTAGTAGAAAGATAAGATGTTGCTGGAGGGAATGTTTGGAATCTGTCTTGCATTTTCCCCCAGTAGTATTGAGGGTGGATCTACAAGAGCCCCTGGCCCCTTACCCACAGGGAAAAAGCTCCAAGACCCCCCCACACAAGGGATGCCTGAAACCGCAGAGTACCAAACCCTACATCAGTGACGGTGAACCTTTTAGAGCCTTCAATGATACAAACAGCCCACTCTGGCATGTGTACCATAGGTTCGCCACCATTGCCCTACATATATGGGAGGGTTTTTCCTATACATGCCAATGATGAAGTTTAATATATAAATTAGGCACAGCAGGAGATTAACAGCTAATGGTAAGAGAGAAAATTAAAACAACACACTATAATACAAGTTATGTAATGTCTTTCTAATGAGTCGAGACAAATATTAATATTTCAGACCATGGTGGACTACGGGTAACAGAAATCATAGGAAGCAAAGCCACAAATAAAGGGACACTAATATACTTAAGTAAGTGCCCTCTAAAACCTGCATATAGTGGTGCCTCAGTTTACAAACTTGCTTTGTTTTACAATTTGGGGAAGATGACTGTTTGTGTTTGTGTGGAGAAGATGGTCATGATTGTGCTCGTTACCCAATGCAGTTTGCAAACAGAAGCAAAATTTTGCTGACTACTTTTGTTTGTGAACCAAACTGTTTGCAAACAGAAGCATTCATGAACTGAGGTATTACTGTATTTAAAGCTGTTTTTGAAATAATTGTATTCTCACCATATAACCCAGATCTGTAGCGTAGTCCGTAAATATTTAGCATCCAGTAGGTCTGCAAATCTTCCCCTTTTTTCCTGGGGTAAAAAAAGTGGAGGAGACAATACATTTAGCAGGTTAAAGATAGGCAAATATTTTTGCAATATTTTAGATCATAGTAAACAACAATAATCCAGGTGTGGTGGCACATGCCTGTCATCTTAGCACCCTGGGAAGCCGAGGCAGGAGGATAGCAAGTTTGAGCACAGCCTGAGCAACTCAGCAGGATGCTCTTTGAAAAAATAAGCAGCTCAGTGCAAAGGTCCTGGGTTCGGTCCTGTGTCATCAAAGGAAAAAGAAAGCTAGGGATGGTACCATATATCTATAATCCCAGCACTTGGGTGGCCAAGGCAGGAGAATCCCTACAAATTCAAGGGCAGCCAGAACTACATATCCAGACACTGTCTCCAAAACCTAAAAAGCAAGCAAGCAAGCAAACAAAACAAGAACACGTAAGGTAATATGACAGAAGGAGATAATCACTCCGTTTCCATGACACACCTGGCCAAACACCGCGCATAGCTTTGCTCCACACATTCCTCTCCGCCACTTAGTCTTTGGCGTTTTAGGGTCATTGGCCAAGGCAGAACTCACTGGACTTAAGATTTGACCATTTCCACTCCTTCCACTATTGCTGCACAGGGGTGAGGCGGGAGAGAGGAGCTATAAAAAGGGAGACTTGTAAAACAGATGAGAAATTCATTTAAGTTAATAATAAAAGGAAAAATTTTATGTTAAAAGAAGACTCTATGGCCTATATGAAAATAATGAATTTGAAGAGGAGATAGAGTACCAACTTCTCTATCTCTAAAGGAGAAGCTAGGAACACTTCTGGGTCTATGTCGGCGCCTGCTCAGTACAGATAGATAGATAGACAGACAGACAGACAGACAGACAGACAAGGATGGGTAACCTAAGATTGTGTGGTGGTGGAAAGCTCACAACGCTCTGGAAGATTCTCACTTGAAAGCCAACTACCCTTCTCATAAAAATACCTGGGGTCACAGGCTGCCCAGAGAGACTAGGAGTGACCCGAGCTGTCCAGGATGTCATTGTCACAATAAAGCCCAAGGCAACTTCGAGATCTCTTGCAGCAGTGGCTTCTGAACTCAGCTCCTGGAGCTCATTAATTAATCCCTCCCCACACCCCCAGGAAGGTGGCTCAGGCAGCCCCCTGTTACCTCCACCATGACGCTGCCCAGAGCCTCCAGTCCATGCATCTGGGCTGCTTTGAGCCCATTCTTTCACACGCAATGCTCAGCTCACTAACCAGACCATGAGAAACATCTGTGCAAAGATGAGCCACACAGCACAGAAAATAAAGAGTGAGCCAGACAGAAAATGGAAATTTGGCCAGCTGCGGTGGTGCATGTCTATAATCCCTGCACTCTGGAGACTGAGGCAGGAGGATCTCCACCAAGTTTGAGGCCAGCCTGGACTACATAGTGAGACCATCTCAAAAAACAAACAAAGAAGGAAATTTGTAAAAATCCATTTATGAAAGTTTTTTTAAATACGCAATAGCTTTTTTAAAAAAATGAAATAACTAGGAATCAAACTAATCAAGGAAGTGAAAGAACTCTACAGTGAAAATTATAGAACACTGAAGAAATTGTAGATGTTAGAAAATGGAAAGAACTAAAAAAAAGTAACTCCCCCCAAATCACCCCCTTGTTCATAGGTCAGAAGAGCTAATGTTGTGAAAATGGTCAGTTACCAAAAGTGATCTACAGATTCAATGCACTTTCTAGTAAAATATCAACATTATTCATCGAATTGGAAAAAAAATCCAGAATTTCGTATGGAATCAGAAAAGACCTAGAACAGATAAAACAATCATAACACCCCCCTCAAAAAAAAAAATACTGGAGAGATCACAAACCACACTTCATACTATACAATAAAGCCCGAGTGACAGAAACAACATGGAACAGGCACAAAGACAGAAATGCAGACCAATGGAATAGAACTGAAGATACCAAAACACACCCTGAATACCTAAACCCATCTGACTCTTTTGAGACAGGGTCTCGCTTTGTAGTTCAGATCTTGAACTCACTGTGTAGCCCAAGCTGGCCTTACAGAGATCCTCCTGCCTCAGCCTCTTGAGTGCTGGGATTATAGGCCTGTGTCACCATGCCCAACTTGCTAGCTATGCTTCTGATAGAGGGCTAATATCTAGAATCTATAAAGAACTCCAAAAAAAATTAACCCCTTATAGGGGTACCACTTCTGCCTATACTCAAAGCCTGGGTGTCTGAGGGCATCAGAGGACACAACTCTGCACTCAGGGACATGCATGTAACAGGCCACAGTTATTTCAGAATGACTTAACATGCATAACCACGCATGCACGGTATGGCCAAGGTCGTGCAGCAGGTATTTTGTCTCTCCGAGTCCTGGTAAGCAGGTAAGACACTATAACTTCTGTGAACTAAACAACACTGTAACCTTTTAGTAGCTGTGTTTGCTATGTAGCTGTTCTGCTGTTCTGCTGAAGGAATAAAGACACACAGCTGGGGCGCTCTGGAGCTGCAGCTCCAGCCCTGCTCTGATTCTGCTCTGATGCTGCCCCATGCTGCTGATTGTCTCCGTGTGTGTTGTTCTTATGGGGAACTAACTCACTCGAAAAGGACTACATGAATTAAACGGACCCTTCTCCAGGTGCCTCCTGGGGAGGCCTTGCCTATCCCTTCTCAATTGGCATACTTTGGCAGCAGCCCTCACACCCCCCAAAACAAAGAATTCAATAAAAAATGGGCAAATGAACTGAATAGATACTTCTCAAAAGAAGTTGTTCAGCTGGCTGAAAAGTATATGGAAAAATGCTCAGAAAAATGTAAATCAAAACTAAAGATGTCCTCTCACCCCCAACAGAATGGCCCTCATCAAGAATATATAAATGCTGGGTGTGATGCCATACACCTGTAATCCCAGCACTCAGGAGGCTGAAGCAGGAGGATCACCACGAGTTCTAAGCCAGCCTGGACTACATAGCAAAACTTTGTCTCAAAGGGAAAAAAAAAAAATACCTGAAACAGTGAATTCTGGCAAGAACGCAGGATGAAAAGGAACCTTTCTATACTGCTACTGTTGGTGGAAATGCAAATTAGCATGGCCACTGTAGAAATCAATGTGAAGATTATTCAAAAACCTAAACATAGAAACATCACTGGATCCAGCTTTACCGCTCTGAGGCACCTTCCCAGAAGATTAATGGTGGCGTGTTATTGTTATTCCCCGCATGCCAATGTTTATAGCAGCACAATTCACCATAGCCAAGTTGTGGAAACAACCCAGAAGCCCGGCAAGAGAGGAACAGACAAGGAAAAGGTGGGCTACATACACAGCACACTATTACTCTGCCAGGAGGAAGGGACCATGCCATTGGCAGAAAAATGGATGGAACAAGAAACCACCCATGAAGTTTGCCAGCCTCAGAAAATTAAATACTGTGTGTTTTCACTTATATGAAAAAACAAATGAAAATGAAATAAAATAAACGATAAAAGGAAACCAGAAGGGAGACTTTTGAAGAGGAGGAAGGAAATCAGGAGAGGGGAGGAAAGGGAGAGGTGGTGACAGGAGTGAAAGTGACCAAGACCTGACCAACACAAGCCCGCCTTCCCTTTTGTAACACGAACCGACGTTAATAAAAAGTAAAAGGGTAGAAATAGGACATATGAGAAGTACGAGAGGACTGATGGAAGTCGTTGGGAATGCTGAGAGCAAGCCCGGCACAGCAGCACCAGCTCTAATCCCAGCTGCCTGGGCTTCACGCCCTAGAACTACGGGGAGAAAAGTGCTCCTGAGAAACATGAAAAGGGACACATAGGCAGGCAGGATACACGAGATTATTAAAAAAAAGGATTTTCCATTAGCCTCCAGTGTTCACAAAATCCCAAACTGTCACAGAACATCTGGCAGGGAGGGAGAGGGAATCTCTAAAGTAATTCCAGAATTGTTCTAGAAAAGTTGACCTGAGAAAATAGCTTGCAAAGCCCTGAGATTAATCAGGGGGACTGACCCTGCCATACATAGAAGTATAATAGAAAACACTATTACTAAAGCAGTGTCCTACTGGAAAATAGACCTATCCTTTTCCGACAATTTGAAATTTTGTCTTTATCACATAATAAATTCCCATGTCTATTTGAGTATACACATCTATGCTTAGAACAGATTATTCAAAGAAGATTCAAATATATAAAGAATGGATTATTCAATAGACATATTGTACATCACTGGGAGGCTGAAGCAGGAGGATCACAAATTCAAGCCCAACCTGGGCAACTGAACAATTCTGTAAGACCTTGTTTCAAATTGTTAAAAGGCTGGGGATGTAGCTCAGTGCAAAGACCCTGGGTTCAATTGCCAGCGTGCCCCGACCCTTCGAAAAAGAAAGAAATCAGCATAATGGATTAGCCATTTGGAAATGACAAAGCTAGTTTTGTACCTTGTTTTTTATACCTCAAAAACTCAGATTGAACTAACACTTTTTTTTTCAGTACCAGGGATCAAACTCAGGACCTTGCGCTTTTGAGGCAGGCACAACACCACTGAGCTAAATCCCCAGCCCACCAACATTTAAGTATTAAGAAAAAAACAAATTAACACAATAGAAAGGAGGGAAATCAGTAGCAATTAAAACTGAGTTTAGAAATCAAAAATAAAAACATGCTAGCAAAAATATTAATAAATGGAAACATGCTAGCTTAAAGGAAGGAATACTTTAGGGAAACTTTAAAACAAAGTAAAACTACAACACTAGACAAAAATAACTTGGAAGGTGATATTTTACAAGGTCATATTTAAGGTCCTTATATCATCCAAAGGCAAATAGAGGTGCCAAATAGCATTAGATTATATAAATCTGCATTTTCAGCACTTTGGACCACCTCTGTAATAAAAGAAATACAATGCATAAAATCCAAGCCAATAAAAAGAAATATAAGGGAAGAAAGCAAAGTTAATCAGTCTAACAGAACATAGGAAAAGAGAAAAGATATAGGAAAGATGACAGAAGTCTGATTATACCACTAAGCACAATAGATATAAACAGATCAAACTCCTTTTTAAAAGACATAGACCATTAGACTGAGCCAAAAAAAAAAAAATAGAAAAATCAATTACAGATCTATAAGAAATATACTGAAAGCAAATCAGTAAAGAAAGGCTGAAAATAGTCTGGCTGGAAAAATGCACAAGCAAAATATAAACCCAAACTACATTCAATATATTAATAAGAGAAAGTAGAATTTAAGGCCCCTAACTATCTAAGGATAAGTACTCCAAGTAATAAAAATTCATGAATGAAACAAGGAAATCACACTAACACAAGATAGCCTCAAAATATGCAGAGTAAACTGACAAGCCTTTAGGGCAAAATCAAGTCATCCACTTACTGAAAAGCTATTAGCTTAAAAGGCAAAATTTAATACAAGTATCAAATATTTATAAGGAACAATTAAATTCAAGGAGACCTTTTCTTTTTCTTTTTTTGAGACTGGGTTTCACTCTAATTGAGGCTGGCCTTGAACTCATGGCAATCCTCCTGTCTCAGCCTCTCACCTCAGCCTCCCAAGTGCTAGGATTACAGGTATGAGCCACCATGCCTGGCATTATTTTTCTTTTGCAGAGATTAAACCCAAGGCTTCACACATGCCAGGCAAGCACTATGGCACTAAACCACACCTCTGGTCCTAATATGTCTACTTTTTTGGCGGGGGGGGGGGTACCGGGGATCGAACTGGGGACTTTGCTAATATGTCTACTTTTTTATTTTTGAAATATTTGTTCACTTCATTCGTTTTTCCCTTTTTTATTAGTATATGTTTGTGACACATAATAAATTCATGCATTGCAAGAAACTGGTACCAAGCTGATCCCCTTTACTTCCCTTTCCCCTCCCTCTTTAAGGCCTCCTGGGACATCACCAAAAGTCATTATTTTGAGGACAGGAGAGTCTCAGATTCCAAGTGATTGACTGATAACATCCTCTGTAGCTCAGCGGCAGAACACTTGCCTAGGTTGAGGGCCCTGCTTCCACCCCGTGTCACACACCCAGAGGGACAGAACACCTGACATGTGCTGTGGCATGGATGAGCCTCGAGAACCTTTTGCTAAGTGAAATAAACCAGACACAAATGACAACTGCTATATCCACTTACATGAGGCACTTGGAAAATGCAATTTCATACAAACAAAAAACAGAGTGGGTAAAAAACCCACTGGGTAAGGGAGATGGGAAATTGTTTAATGGGCACAGAATTTCAATTCTTTCAATCCCATGAAAAGAGCTCTGGTGATTGATAGTAGAAATGGTTGCATAATAATCAGGATGCACTTAACATCACCAAACTGTGACTTCAAAATGTGGAAGACAGGGCTGGGGATTTAGTTCAGTGGTGCTGCCACCTGCCTCGCAAGTGCAAGGTCCAGAGTTCAATGCCTGGTACCAAAAAAAAAAAGGTGGAAGACAGTAAGTTTTATGTATATTTTGGCACAACAAAAAATGTTCTATTTTTTTTTAAAAAGGTGGGGGGGCCCGGGGATATAGCTCAGTGGTGCCGCCGCCAGCCTGGCAGGTGCAAGGGCCTGAGTTCGATCCTCAGTACCAAAACAAAAGCAAAAGCAAGGGCCGGGGCTGTAGCTCAGTGGCACTGTGCCTGCCTAGCAAGCATGAGTCCTGAGTTCAATTTCGAGTACTGATAAAATAAAAATAAAAACTAAAAACAGGCCCTGGGATTTAGCTCAGTGGTTCTGCTGCCTGCCTCGGTACCAAAAAAATAAACTAAAATTTAAAAAAATTTTTAAAATAAAAAAATAAAATAAAAACACTCTTCTTGCTCAACACCCAACCTCTAGGTACCTTACAACCACCCTGGTCGGTCCTGGTTGTTAGACCTAAATAGACAGTAGCAGGTTTCATCAAACATTCCAGGAAGCTGATTTGTAACAAACTAGAGACAGGAAAAATCCAAGTAATAAGGGTTATACCCTCGATATCAAAATAAGACAAGGCCAGTTTAAGAAAACAGGGCTACTATCCCATCTCCAGGGCTTTCATGGGTTAGCTCCACAAGGCAAGTGTTACTTTATTGAGGAGGACAGTGTCATTAGGTAACTTCTGGGGTTACAGCAGCAGCACACTGTGGAATTAGCTAAGCACCAATCTGCCCTTTTCAGCCACCCCTGCCTCAGAGAGCCGCCTGCCCGCCCACCCAGAGTGGCCTCCCCGCTGGGCTTCCACAGGAACGGATGGCCCTGCCATCCAAACTCACCAGCATGGGCTCCACCAGCTGCCCCTCCGGCAGGGCAGAGCGGTTCATCTTGGCAATGTGCTGCAGGGTGGTCAGGGCGGCCTGAGTGTTCCCGGTGGAGACATTGAACCGAGCAGACTCGGGAATAAACTGGGCACATGTGACAAAGAACATCACCTGTGAGCCAGCCCAGGGGCAGCACTGCCCTTTCTCCATCCATCACAGTCTGACCTCCCCAAGGTGGGAAATGAAGCAGAGAGTCTTAAAGGTGTATGGGACAGCGAAATTCTGTTGAATTCAAAGCTGCTTCAGAAATCTGTCCTAGGGAAGGAGATTTCTGGGAGATGAGACATGGCACTAAAACCAAAGGATGAAATGTAAATGCTTCAATTTAGGTGTAAGGAAATACACCAACTACAGGTCAGGTTCTAGGCTTGGAAACGACTCCCATAGAAAGGTCCTAAGGTTGTAGTTGATGTTAAGTCCCAGAGCATGCACCTGTGGGATACGTCTCACCAAGAAAGCAGTGATGTCCTCTACTGCTGCACAAGTGCATGGTCAGGAGAAGAAACAGGCTCCAACATCAGGGGCCTGTGTGTGCCCCTGAGCAACAGTGCCCTGCTGAGAAGTCACTGACCAACCAGGCTTGTCCAGAAGCAGAGGGACAGATGCCAGGCCAGCTGTCATGGGAAAGACTTGAAGGTGACAACTGCACTCAAATAAGAGGGAGCAATTGGGAGTGCACCTGTTCAGCAATATTTAAAAGGATGCCATGGTGAGAAGGTAGAGCTCTGGTTTTCCAAAGAACAGTAGTAGGACCAGTGGTAAAAGTTTAAAGTCTTTTGTCACAACAAGAGCTGTGCTAACAATTTGAGCTGCCTGGAGATAGAAATCTCCAAGGCAGACACATGCTTGAAGCTGGGCGTGTTCTTCCTGAGACCTGCTACCTCAGATGCCTGGGTTGGGGTTAGTACTAGGTACCCACTAAGAACCCTAGTGAGTGCTGAAATGCTTCCATTCTGCAGGGCAGGTGACATAAAGGAAACAGAGCCCAGTTCTGCTGAGCTGCGATCTTGTCTCTGAACAAGGAGCAGACCCCTGCTAGAAACCAGGGAGATGGTGACCCCGCAGTTGGGCAGCGCCTAAGACAGTGGGACGGAGTAACAAGCCGGCAGGCCTGTGGTCGCCCAAGCACGTGGAGCTTCCAAAGGGTGCATGCTAACAGGCAGAGGGAAGTCAGCACCCACGGGGCCAAACTTCCAGGATCAAAGATGAAGGCAGCGAACTCTCCGAGGAAGGAGAGACAGACGTGGGAAAGATACTGGTGGGAGCATGGGCAAGCAGGGCAGCTGCAGGAGAGCCCAGAGGGAGCCGTACTTCCCCACCTTGAAGGCCAGGATGAGGACGATGCCTGGGATGGAGGCGATGCGGATGAGCCAGCGCCACCCGATGGTGGGGATGACCACGGAGGCCAGGCCGATGATGAGCAGCGAGCCAGAGAGCCAGAAAACCTGGGGAGAGCCGAGACTCAGGCACCTTGCCACGGTGCCCCACGTTTCCCCTCTCTGGAGCCCAGCAGGCGCATTGTGCAAGGGTGAGATGGGACTTGGAGGAGCAACCAGTCAGGTTCTGTCCCTGCTCGGCCTCCACCAACTTGGAGGAAGTGAGTGTCGCTTCGAATTCTCTGTGGCTTCCGATTTCTGTAAACCGGACACTTAGCCAGAGCATCAGTAACATCACTGAAGTTTGAAGACTCCAGTACCACAGGAATGCCACACCATGACTTCTCTTTAAGCAGACGACCACTGACCCTCACACAAAGACCCAGAGGAGATTGGGAACATACTCTTGTCCTACTTCTCTGGCATCTTGTTCCTCCTCTTGGGAGGAACCAGGATTACCAATTCCTTCTGTGTCCTTCTAAAGCTCTTCAGGACATGAACAAGCTAATAGGATATATTTTCGTCCCCCAGCCTCCCACAGGCAGCACTGTAGTACACATAATAATCCATACTTTGCTTTTTGTACATGTAAATACATCTTAGAGATTTGGGGGTTTTCTTTGTTGTTGTTGCTGTTTTTTGAGATAGTCTCACTCTGTAATTCAGGCTGGCTTTGAACTCAGGGCAATCCTCCTGCCTCAGCCTCCCGAGTACCCGGATTGCAGGTGTACACCACCACACCTGGCTATCTTGGAGACAATTTTATATCAGCAAGTCACATGGAGCCCACTACAGCCAGGTTCCATTGATCAGGAACTAAAACACCTGTCACCATGAGCCTGACCGTTCTTCCCCTCGTGAAGATGGAGAGAAGGGTACATGCTAGAAGATTCTTTGACCCAGGTGCACACCTGCAATCCCAGCTACTTGACGCAGGAGATTGCAAGTTCTTGGGCAATTTAGTAAGACCCTGTTTCAAATTTAAAAAATAAAAAGGACTAGGAGTATAGCAAACTGGTAGAGCGCTTGCAAGACCCTGGGTTCAATCCCAGTACCATGCCAACATAATACTGATTATGATAACTCTTCAGGGAACCAATTAAGGAGTGACTATTTCATCAAAGATTCTATTGTCAAAAAATATTTCAGAAAGTGATAAAGGCTGTAAAGAAATAACATGATGGAGAGTGACTTGGGGATAGGGTTAATTTTTGTGAACACACAATAAGGCCATCGGGGCAGTCCTAGTAAAAGGAGAGGTGGAACTGGGTAGGGTTTCAGTAGTAAAATGACAAAATGTTTAATTTGGCACACACTTTTGAGGCAAAAAGTGTCACAAGGCTCGTTGATGGACAATCGGATCATGGTGATGAGTTACCAGGACCTGGCAATCAGCGACTGAGTGGAGGGATGGGAGGGGAAGAGAGGGATCCATGAGTGCTCTGAGTCTGTGGATCAACACCCATGGATTCCACATCCATGGTTTTAACCACCCACATGTCAAAAATATTCAGGAAAAAAATTGTGTCTGAGCTGAACACATTCAGGCTTTTTTTGTCATTATTCCCTAAACAACGCAGTAGAATAACTATTTACATAGCATTTATTAGGAATTATAAATCTCCCAGAGACGTGTTAATGCGGATAAGAGGATGTGTGCAGGTCATGTGCAAATACAACACCATCTTACAGAAGGGACTTCAGCATTCTCTCTCTCGTGTCATCTGGGTCACGGACTCAATCCCCACAGATGCCAAGGGACACCCATGAACAGAGAGCTAAAACCCTGGGGTGGGTTAATGACCCAAGGAGACCTGGAACCAAGACTACCAAGGAGGGGACAAGCCAGGGAGCCTGCCAGGCATGGGGCAGATGGAGGGTGAGCTCCGTGTGTGGGCTGAGCAGACTGCACTCCTCACATGGCCACGGAGGGAGTCAGGGTTGTGCTCCAAATGTCACTGCTTGCTGACACGTCCTGGCCTCAGGAAACCTTGCCATTGAACCCCCAGCCCCAAGCAGTTTCAATGCTTTTCAGTTGGTGCCAAATAATAGGCAGAACTCTAGCCAAAGCCAGAAGAAAGTCCAAGTGCCTCATACCTTACCAGCTGCAGAAGACGGGGTAGAATTCCAGTTTTACCTTACCTGAGACAGAGGGAGCATGTAGCCTCGATATTTTGTGGGCAGAAATTCAGTCTTTATAATTAGCCTAAACAGGAAAGGGGAACAAATAATTTTGTTTCTATAAAGCCAGATGCCTTTTCTTTAAACAATCATAATTTTTCTGGTCACAAGCATAAAGAATTAAAAATGTAATTGTTACAGCAAATATGCACTTAAGAGACCAATAAGTAAACTTAACAACTGCATCTCTTATTCTATATCTTCTACCACTTAGGAGATAGCAGCTGCATCTCTTTTGCCAAAGAGGAGCAATGGCCAACTTTTGCCAGCCCAATCCGTTTTTTAAAAAAACATACCTGGGGAAAAAAGGGGGGGGGGGCTGGGGATTTAGCTCAGTCATTTCACCGCCTGCTGCGCAAGCGCAAGGACCCGAGTTCAATCCCAGGTACCAAAAAAAAAAACAACCCATACCTGGAAAATTAAAGTACAATACACCCTAGAGAAAGTAAATAATTTTTCCAATTCCAGTCAAAATATAGATTTCTAATTAAGCTCATATTAATTTTGTGAATAGAAGAATGGAATTGTTTCCCATCCATTTTCTAATTGCTCTTCTCTATTGCTACAATGAGCCAGTTCTTAACATCCTTTTTGGGATGTTTAAAAATTCTACTCTCTTAGGGCCCCAAAGCTCAGAGCACTACTTAATTTATGCCCTCCAGGAGAACAATTCTTTTGCCAACACATTAAGGCAATAATTAGATGTGCCGATTTCTCCTGATATAGTTTAAATGTAACTTGCTCCAGGATTTGGGGAGAGCATGGTGGTAGCCGGAGGAGCCCTAATTTCCTGGAGGCTCCCCCAAACCAGAATATTTAGTGAAACCACTGTCACACCTATATGCAAGAAGTCCAAGCCTACTTAACCATGGGCACAAAACAGGCAAGGGGCACTAGGTCCATTTCAGTCTGTCTTTAGGCTGTTTTGCAAATTCTCCCTGTAAAGTCTTAAGTTACAGGGTGATGCCACTTTAAATAGCAATTCCTGATGGCCAAACTACACTCTAAATATTAACTTTGTATTTTTTCTAACAAAATTGTGCTGGTCTAAAAAATAATAACTAGCCTTTGTAAGTAGAAGGGGGGAAAAGTAACACATATGCAATCTAACACTCTGTAAGCTTTACCATCAAGCAGTGTATCAATGGCAAATGGCTCCTGATAGATTATGAAGCCATCACTTTACAAAAAGGCTTGGGCCGGGGATTTAGCTCAGTGATTTCGACCCCTGCTGCTCAAGCCCAAGGACCAGAGTTCGATCCCCGGTACCAAAAAAAAAAAAGGCTCAAAAATAATCAGCTCAAGTGAAGCCTGTTTATCACTATCTGTTGATCCATGATTCTGATTATCACTGTATATGTAAACACCTGTGGGCCAATACATTTTTGTCCCTGGGATTCTCTGGCGCAGGCTTTACCCTTGTGCATGGCCAGACACGCCACAGCCCACCATGGTCCGCAGAAAGACAAACCAGATGTATGTGGGTGAGAACGAGGTCAGCAAGGAGAAGTAGGCGCCCCACAGGAAGGACAGGAGCAAAATCTGAAGCAACAAAAGAGAACTTGTTCAGGGCACCTGCCCTCATTAGGGCAGGGAAGAGAATCCACCTTCTCCAGGTGATTTTTCCTTTCTGTCCAGATGTTTACTTCTCAAACCAGACGCTCTCTGGTCTCAGTCATCAGCACAGTCCAGCCAACCTGTTGTCTGAAAGGCGGTACCCCCAAGGGCAGGCTCTTCTCCAGGGTGCTCGTGAGTCTGCTGTAACAGGTGGCAGGGACTGGATTTGTGCATCAGAAAGCAAAAGCCCCTTTCCCCACGCTGGAGTGATTAGAAGGAGAAAACAAAGTATTTGGTTTATCTCTAATTATAAGAATAATACAAGTTCATAGTAAAGAATAAGAAAGAATAAAAAATTGAAATCTTTGATTCTGCAACCCAGAAAAAATACTTTTCAATTTTTTTTTTTTTTGCATTACCAGGGACCAAACTCATTACCTTTTGCTTGTGAGGCAGGTGTGGCACCACTGAGCTAAATCCCTAGCCCCAGAAAAAATACTCTTAAAACATTTTTAATCCTATTTTCCTTGTAAAGGAAAGCAAATTTTTCATGGTTATAAAATACTCCAGAAGAAAGATGTATTGTACTACACGTAATATAAAACCAATCTATTATAAACCCTACTACTGAACGCAGGGGCTGACATGGCTTTCTTACTATGAAAATACAGAGAGATGATGCTTCATGTTCTCTCTGCCAGCCTCAGTGAGCTAGATCGCTGCAAGGCAAGTGACCCGGTTAGAAGAGCTTTTCAAGAGATTTCATTGGGGTGGGGATTTAGCTCAGTGGTACCTCGCCTGCCTGGCAAGCACACAGTCCTGAGTTCGATCCCTGGTACCAAAAAAAAAAGATTCTTCATTCATACTGCCACGCTTGTATCAGAGAAGTTATACTGATGGAAGAAATACTTGTCCTCGCTCAGTCTCAGTGCTGAGTTGAGTTGGACCTTGCAACACAAGACAGGTAAACGAGACAAAAGCCGAACGCACTGATTGACACACCCAGAAACCGAAATGAGAAGCATCTCAGAGGCGTGGCTTAGCACTCAACGGGGAACCCAGAGGTTTGGACAAGCACCGGCAAAGGAAAGCAGCTTTAGGCTTACAGAGGTGAGAAAGTAATACAGGGGAGAAAATGAGTGGAGCAGGGTTAGTTTGCAGACTCCTCTGCAGCCTTCACTAGACAAAGAGCCCAGAGTTTTCTCCAGCAAAGCAGAGCTTGGATCCTGTCTTAGGCAGAAAAGCAAGAGGAGACAGTTTTTCTTCCTCTTGCTGTTTAATTGCTGTTAGTACAAAAATAATTTTATTTCAAAAAGCCATGTTTGGGGGAGGCATATTTCTGGTCTCCTGCAGTACCAGCAGTACGAGGTGTCTATCTGTAAAGCACAAACACATCCACGCCAACAGTGGAAGACTGTTTAAGAAAAATGCCTTATGGGTTTGAAGTTTAATATTAATTTCATATGGAAAAATATCTTGCTATGTGATTTTGCTTTTGTTAACTCCTGTGATTATGTTTTCAAGGTTTCTTGATCAGTTGTATTTCTTCTTCTATAAAATGCCTTTTTATGCTTTTTTCCTTTCTGAGATACTTCTAATTTCATGTTAACTTATAAGACTGATATTTTAGCTGGGTGTGGTGGCACACACCTGTAAGCCCAGCACTCAGGAGGCTGAGGCAAGAGGGTCACTGTGAGCTTGAGGGCAGCCTGGGCTACACAGTGAGTTTGAGGCCAGCCTGTGCTACATAGTGAGACCCTGTCTCAAAAAAACAAAAACAAACAAAGGACTATGATATTTTATAGACCTTAATATATATAGCTAAATCTGTTTATGTTTTCCCTGTGCTTTCTTTGTGTTTGAAGAACTCTTCTTCATCAGAAATTAAACAAGAGGCCTGGGGATTTAGCTCAGAGGTTCTGCTGCCTGCCCCACAAGCACAAGGACCCGAGTTTGATCCCCCATACCAAAAAAAGAGAAATTAAACAAGAGACCAGACCTGGGTTTGGAATCAGAAGACTTTCAATCTTCAGCCAGCCGCACAGCTTAACCAGTGTGAGCTGCTTTGCCAATCCACACATGCTGAGCCCTTTTAACTACTCACACACCTCAAGGGCGTAAGGAGACAGAAGGGGGCCAGGTGTGGAGACAGAAACCTTGGGGAAAAGATGAGAAACCAGGGCAAGCCTGGAATTCAGGAGCCTCCTATCAGAGAAGGGAACTTCCGCATCTTCTACGGTGGGTGTTGCTAGGGAGTGTCCAGGAAGAGGCCGACAGGAGATGGGGATGGCCACAAAAGAACACATCAAAGAAAGCCCCCAATCTCACGTCCTGCCTACCTTCCAGCGACCGTATCTGTCAGCCAAGAGCCCAAAGAGGACGCTGGATACCATGTAACCGAAAAACACCATCTGCAGGAAGGGGAGACAAGTGACGCTCTCAGCAGGGTTATCTAGGATGGTCCCTGACCTCGTGCATCAGTCTTACTTAAAGCGACTAATGCAGGAGATGGGTGAGCTAAATCACAGGTTCCCTACACCCCTCCCAGGACTCCAGTTCACCCAGGGCTCCAAGATGGAGGATTCTGCATCTTGTAGCCAATCCCACACCTTCAGGACACTGTCCCCTGAGGAAACTGGGCTACAGGCAGGTGACTGAGCTCCCTCTGACCCCTTGGGCAGATCCAGGCTATGACTGTGAATTTTCACTGTAATTACAGACATCTCCATGCATTCCTGCTGTGCTCTATTCCAATGCAAGGGAGGCCAGAAGAAGCAGTCTCCTTTTATGCTCATGCGTGTAAACAAACCACGCAAACATCCAAACCAAATCATCTATTTAAAAAAAAAAAACAAAAAACACTTCTGCTCACAGGATGTGGTGGCACACACCAGTAATCCCAGCACTCTGGGAGGCTGAGGCAGGAGGATGGCAAATTCAGCTTGGGCAATTTAGCAAGTAAACAAGACCCGACTAGAAATACTATAAAATGGAAAAAGAGCTCGAGACGTAGCTTGGTACAAAAGCCTTGGGTTCAACTCCCAGTACAAATAAACTCTTCAAAATAAATATAAACCCTAAGGTGAACCGACTTCTTTTCCTTTCTTCTCACAACAGCTTGTCCACCTCTGACAAAATCCAAGATCCTCTCTACTCGGAGCTGAAGGCAGCTGTCAGCACCTTCAGGCTATGGATTTTCCACCTCCAGCACTTTACTCTCGGCCCTTTTCTTCCCCAGCTCCTTCCTCATCCACCCCAGGATAATCAAAGCACAACATAGCTTTGTTTCTAGCGCCTTTGGGGAAAGGCAGCCCGTCTCTGTCCCCCCTCCCCTCCTACCCTTCTCCATGAGACTCAGATGCATTTTGTCACAGGAAACTACAAAAAAAAAAATTCCTGTACTTGTTCTTGAATGATGGAAGCTGTGGTTTTGCCCTGTGCTGTGCTCTACAGGACAGAAATCTTGATTCAAAACCTGTGTTAGCCCACAAGGTTGTAAACCTGCAGTTCTGCTACCCGGTTTGGAAGAGAGAGTGGAGACCGAAAACCAGCAGCCTGTGCTTTCCTTCAGGTGCTTGTGTATAAAACGTGACTCTTGTGCTTCTGATTTAAGCACCACGTGGAGCTGATTCTTTGGCACTGAGTGACTCTCATTCCCAGGGTGAGCGGATGTAATTAACCCATAACACTTAGCTACTCAATGAGCAGCTGCTCGGGCCAAGGCGGAGAACGTGGAGTTGAGGTTGGGGTTCGGAAGCCTACAGATGGTGAAAATGTGGCCTCGTGGCTTCACAAGTGGCTGTCAGTGAGCCCAGGGGAAGAAACCAGAGTTAGGTGGTTTCACAGCCAGGACCAGGAATGACAAGGTAGAGCAGGACATAGTCACCTCTCCCATGAGCGTCATTACCTAAAGTCCAGGCTATGAGCCACTGGAAGAGGTAAATCAACCAACTGCTGCTACTACGGAAACTTCTCAGGCAAAATTAGGGAACAAGAAAAATGTAACCAATCAGATGTGAGCTGTAACTATGTATCATGCAGCATAATATAAAAAATTGTATCACAAAATCTAAAAACTACTATGTAATACAATGACCACGCGAATGTCACCTTAGGATCTCCAGTATTCTCAGAAACTTAAGTATGCATACTACAAACCTGGTGGGGTGCAAAGCAATTATAATTACACATACAGTAACACTAAAAGCCACCTGATGCGGTGGTTTATGCCTGTAATCTCAGCACTCTGGGAGGCTGAGGCCAAGGTATTATAAATTAGAGCCCATTATGAGTGACTTGGTGGGACCCCACCACAAAATTTAAAAAGAATTTTTTTAAAAAAAACAGGGTTATGATGTAACTCAGAGCAAAGGTCCTGGGTTCAATCTCCAATACTACAAAAAACAAAACACAAAAGGATTGACAAGCAATGCTTCGTAAACTAATTCGATGTCCTACATAGAAGAAAATGAAAAACAGCAGTGTCATTTTTGTTTGTTTTTTGGTACTGGGTATCAAACTCGGGACCATTGCGCTTGTAAGGCAGGCGTGGTGCCACTGAGCTAAATTCCCGGCCCCAGCAGTGTCATTTTGTTACAAGCCCAAGTATGACCTCTGGTTAATTTTACTATCTCTAGTGCTTTTCTAAAAGCAGTACAGTTTAAAAACAAAAGGGAACAACAACAACCAAAAAAAACAGGGAACCAGTGCCACAAAATTAATAGAAAATCAAGCTAAGGGAACACAGATTTGTTGCCACAATTGGGTGTAAAATGGGGTGGAAACGTCCCATCCTCCAAGAGGCCAGAGGAACACAGCTGGGCTCCTGTGGCACTGAAACCTGGCCTCAGGGAGGCAATCTGTCCTCTTCCCAATCCCTAGGGGTCCCAGGTGCAGCTCAGTGGTAAAACACTTCACAGTTGGTCCTCCAGGTCCTGGTTCTATCCCTAGCACCGCAGGGAGGGAAAAAGTTCTGCCTGACGCCCTTCCCCACCCCCTCGTGGCCTGCTGGAAGCCCGCTTTGATCCACGTCAGCTCCCCTTCTCCTCACCACCTTGCAGCTCCCTGACCTCCATGGTGGAGCTGATCTCTAAATAATCCTGAGCACAGTCCCAGCCCTGAGCTGTCCCATGGCTACCGCCCCACCGCAGCCACCTCAAGGATCTCCTCAATCTCAGGAAACCCATCTCGGCCTTGGAGAAGCCCTCACAGCTGGTTCCGAACATGTTCACGTCCCACGGGCCTCTCCTGAGAGTGCAGAAAAGACAGCTAAGCTCTATGATAAAAGTATACTGTCAAGGCCTAGTGCACACCTGTAATCCTAGCATTGAGGAGGCTGAGGCAGGAGGCTCACTGAGTATGAGGCCAGCCTGGGCTCTACAGTGAGACCCCATCTTAAAAAACAAAAAGTACTTTTGGATCCATTTAAGGAGAAACAATGACTATGAAGTCAATAATGCTTTTACACAATTAGTTTTTGTACAAAATGGCAATGTGGGGCCGGGGATTTAGCTCAGTGGTTTCGCCGCCTGCTGCACAAGCGCAAGGACCCAAGTTTGATCCCCAGTACCAAAAAAAACAAATAAAACAAAATGGCAATGTGAAAAGTGTTCTACACATTATTTGCATCAAATACTTTTTCCTTGGGGGGTTTATTGTGCACCGGTCCAATGCTGGGGAGCAGGGCCAGCAGGATGGGGTCTATGTGAAGACTGAGGGTGCTTCAGGGACCTGTCACTCCAGAAACTTCACCTCCTACTGCTCTCTCTCACTCTCCACACACACACAGAGCCTGCTGATAACTGACTTTTGAAAGGATGGCAGGCAGCTTAATTCCACTTGGTGTAAAACTTAGCATGCAGCTTGTAAGGCTATTTGTGATGGTGTTTGAGAGAAAACGACCAGGTAATGATGCTGTTCAGAGAGGGTGACTGGTTCACTCGCAGTGGCCCAGCGTGTGGTCATGTGGCCAGCCCGTGACCAACTCATGATGCAAGGGCTTCTTTCTCCAGTTGGATTCCTCCATCTGGGCTCTTGCTTAGGCAGGGAGAGGCCCCGAGGGTGGCCAGGCCCGCTGTGCCTGGGGTAAGCACTCCCTTGGCTCCAGCCCTGTGGGGACAGGAAGGGAAGCTGGGCCCCCAGCTTCTCACACATGGCACGGGATGCAAGTACTCACCGTGGTCACCAATGCCACCTGCCAGTTCTCCAGGTGCCACTCACAGCGGATGGCAGGGGACACCACTGCGATCAACATGATCTCCATGGCCTCGACAACCTTGAAGAAGTGAAAAGCAGGCGACGTCCTGGTGCCAACCCATTGGCACTTCTTAGGTCTGCCTGTCACCCTCCTCAGTCCCAGTCCACGGGGTGTAGGGGATGCCCACACTGTCACCCAGGATGGAGCCCACAAGGCTTCCTGTCCTAAGACCAGGAGTGGCTCTTCTGACCGCATCCAAGTAAACACTTCTGTTCTCTGCATGTAGGAGAGACAGGGGCTGGGGCTGGGCAAGAACCCTTCCCAGCAGGTGAGCTGGGAAGAACTGAAACAGGCAATGAAAGAGAGCCAAGCCAGGGCCAGGGATTTAGCTCAGTGGTTTCGCCACCTGCTGTGCAAGCGCAAGGACCCGAGTTTGACCCCTGGTACCAAAAAAATAACAGAAAGCCAAGCCAGGCCTGGTGCTGCACAACAATCATCTCAGCAGTCTGAGAGGCTTAGGCATTGTAACTTAGCAAGACCCTGGCTCAAAATTAAATAAAAAATTTAAAAGGTGAGGGATGTAGCTCAGCACGAAGGCCCTGAGTTGAAGAAAAGCAGAGCAAAGAGCCCACACCATTTCACTCCTGTGGAGACTTTCTGGAGGTGGAAGAGAGCCGAGTCAGCCCCTACCCTGCCACACCTCCTTGTCCCTTGAATATAGAACCTTAAAACTGTGGCGCTTCCGGAAACCTTGATTCATAGGCAGGGAAGCGTTCTAAGTTGTACTGTTGGTTATCATAAAAGTTGGACTAAAACACATGACATTTCTCGCCTGTCCCTTTTATTTTTTTATCTTTTTTTGAGACAGAATCTCGCTGCGTAGCTCAGGCTGGCCTTGAACTCACAGTGATCCTCCTGCCTCAGCCTCTGGAGTGCTGGGATTATAGGTGTGCACCACGCCCCGCCTCTCTCTTGTCTCCTGTGACTCCAGCGCTCCCCAGACACCTCCATGCCATGTGCCTCTTACAGGAGCTCAGAGCTCCCCTGTGTTAACTTGCTGATTTCCCTGTTAGAAATCTTTACCCCTTTCCCTCCCGAAGCCCCTGTTGTGTTGCCCCACAGTTTCCTCTCCCTTTCAAGCATTATCCCTGTGCACCTGTTTGTTTTTCCAGTTCTGGGGCTCAAACCCAGGGCCTCACATACACTAGGCAAATACTTTTCCACTGGGCTATACCCCTGGCCCTTTTTACAGTTCTGTGACACGGTATTGCTAAATTCCCTAGGCTGGCCTCAAACTTGGGATCCTCCTGCCTCAGCTTCCTGAGTGCTGGGACTACAGGCATACCCCCTCAGCTCAGCTTAGTTTGGGGTTTGTGACACATTCTCAGTCCTTCTACTAGAGGAGGAAATCAAAGGTTTGTAGTTTCACAAGCTTCACAGCTGTTATCAAAGCTGGGCAGGGGTGAACAGCATATGGGAAATGTCTTAGTCCACTGTGCTGCCTGACAAAATACTTAACATCCCATAAATTATAACGAGTAGAAAACCATTCCTGCAGTCCCAGTTACTTGAGAGGCTGAGGCAAGAGGCTCACCTCAGCCCAGGAATAAGAGACCAGCTTAGGGGGCAGCTTTGTCCCCATTTTTTAAAAAACCCCAGAAACGTACGTCTCACAGTTCTGGAGCTGGCGAGTCCTACACTGAGGCCCCAGCAGGTTTCGCTGCTTGCCAAGGGCTATATCCTCTGGGAGGGAAAGGATGCCGTGCACTTACAGCGGAGGAGCGTAGTGAGTGAACCCACACCACCTTCCCCGTGACCCAGTCACTTCCTACTCGCCCCACCTCTTCACACTAGCACATTGGCAACAGCTGCAGTTGGGAGGGACCCACTCAACCCGTGGCAGTAAACAGCAATCCTCCACCTGTGCCCTGTAAGAGTCGGGAATCCGAAATGACAGCAGGTGTCCTGGGTTACTGGGATGCAGAAATATTTGGAGAGCCAGGCATGGTGTTGAGCACCTGTAATCCCAGACTCAGGCAGCTGAGGCAGGAGGATTGCTGCAAGATCAAGGCCAGCCTGAACTACGTAACAAGACTGTCTCAAAAAAACCCCAAAAAAAACAAAATTGGGAAGCCTTGGGTCTGACCCTACACAGAACAATACCAGGGGTTCCCCCTTCCTCCCCTGCCTCAGCGTTTTAACTGTGAGCTTTGAGTTTCCAGAGTGTAGAGACACAGCATCCATGTGATCCTAACCCAGCACCTGCTCCCTTCCACACCCCAGAAGCCAGTGCCTGTGTGCTCAGCAAGGAGGCCAGCTGGGGAGACGCAGGGACCCCAAGAAGCACTCACCCCCGTGCTGCCCATGATCAGGAACAGGGCGATGTGGAAGCGCCCGAAGCCGATAGTCTCCACCGCGTCCTCCACCGTGAAGGTCTTGGGCTCTGACGAGGGAGGGCACAGGGGCGCCGCTATGTGGAAGGCGATGCGGGGACCCCAGCCCTCCCGGGCACCTGCTCGGTGTAGCAGGACCGGCGAGCCGGCCCTTACCTTTCTGCTGCTGCGGCTCCAGGCCCGCGGGGCTCAGCCTGCGCAGGCTGAGGACGGTGACCGGCTCAGTGGGCTTGGACGCCATGCGACTCCGGGGCCCCACGCTGCCAGGACAGAAGGACAGACATCGCGTGACCGAGCGCGAGCTACTGCTAAATCACTGAGCCTCACAAACCCTTCTGAGCTGGGCACTTTGCTCCAGATTTTCTCTGGAGCCAGGCTTCAGTGTTTCAGTTCTTTCCTTCCCAGACCAAGAGATGCAGGGAGGGAGGGGAAGGAAGTAAAAAGAAAATGAAGATGTGTTACGCACACGTAGCAATTCCCCAAGATGCTGCCAACACGTACTGATCAAACTAAAATTGAGCCGGGCGTGGTGGCACACACCTGTAACTCCAGCACTCAGGAGGCTGAGGCGGGAGGATCGCCATGAGTTTGAGGCCAGCCTGGGCTACATAGTGAGACCCAGTCTCAAAATAAAATAAAATTTAAATTCTTTCCCTTCTACTTACTAGGTGTAGCTTTGAGTTTGTGCTTTGTATTCCTCAGTTTCCTCCTCTCCAAAATGGAGACAATACAGTAATTTCATCTAACTTCTAGGTTGTTGCAAGGACTCAGTTGGTTCAGAGAAAGTGCTTCACCTATACCTGGCATGTGCTGAAATGTGCAATTTGTGTGAGCAGGTGGCACCTGCCATTGCTGTCATCATTGCTGCTCATTAAGAATGTATTTGATGCCATCATATTTGCTGTCATTACAGCAAAGAGCTCAAATGCGTCACAGAAGTTAAAATGTGATTGTTCATATTTATGCTGAAATAACGGCTTGCTGGTCACCTTTGGAGAACATAAGTAGTAAGCACTTTGGCTTTCTTGTGTACTCTGTACACCAAGGTAACCAATAACCAAGCCATTACCTTAAAGTTTTCTTGAATTTCAGAGGAAATTAAACTGTCACTATTCTCCAGCTCCTGATAACAGATCTAGAGGACGATCAGCAATGGCTGATGGGGACTCTACTGCCCCGTGGCGGAGGCAGTGCCACTGGGGAGAGACTCAGGGTGGGGTGGGGGGCGACGGTTGTGGCCCTTGAGGAGCCATAATGGACAGGAAGTATACGCATCCCCTATGAAGTGTTTTCAGAAAACAGAATCGAACCTGAATCCAATCAAGCTACTACCCACTGGTTTACACAGGGAGTGAAGAAACATGTTAAACTACCCCATGTAGTTACAGTAAGGAAAATCTAGAATGTGGGAAGTTCTACAGAATAAATAGCTTCATTTCTTGAATAAATAAAAGACAAATGAAAGAGAAAAACAGGGTGATGTACTGAGACTACACTTTCTGAACTAGAGGTCTAAGTGTGCTATTAGTAATTACAAAGATAACCAAGAATCCAGCCAGGCATAATGATGGTGCACACTTGTATCCCAAGCTATTCAGGAGGCTGGGGCAGGAGTGTCTCAAGTTCAAGGCCAGCTTGGGCAACTTAGTGAGGCCCCATCTCAAAATAAAATTCAAAGCCCTTGGGTTGTAGCTCAGGGGCAGAGCTCCTCTGGGTTCAATAAACAAATAAACATACAAACAAAATTTAATAAAAGAAAAGTGGAATGCCTACAAAATATTGAGCAAAAGGGAGAAATCAGCACTTTTCTTAGTGAGTAATGGCTTGATACTATCTTAAGTTGATAAACCAGGAAATAAAAGATAATTATATTGTCTTGATTATACAGGTAATCATTGAGAAAACTAAAAGAAAAATTCTCTAGGGATTGGGAAAGTTAAAGCAGAAGATTCTTTTTTGTCATAAATTCATTTGTTTGAAATTACCACGTGTGCTTATTACTTCAATAATTTTTTAATTTAAAGAAAGGTAAACAGAATAGGAAACATATATGTGTAGTAAAAGTTCTTGTATGTCAGAAGAAAACTATGGAGGTAAAGCCCTGAAAAACCAATGCAGAAGAATAAATGTATGGCTGGTACACCTATGAAATCAAGTTCCACCTAATCTGCAGCTATGACTTCAAATTCATGTGTTACCATTTTCCTCTATCATATCTGCAAAAATTTTAAAGACTGATTAAACCAAGAATAGGTGTAAACTGGTACAATGTTTCTTTTTGTTTTGGTTTGTTTGTTGAGACACAAACAAACAAACATGTAGCTCTTGTTTCATGTAGCTACATGTTTCACCTGGTCTTGAATTCACTACAGTAGTCCAGGCTGGCTCTGAACTCTCAGGGATCCTTCTGCCTTAGCCTCCCAAGTACTAGGATTACAGGTGTGAGCCACCATGCTGGCATTACTCCTGTAAGAGAACATCACTTAAAAGCCCTTAAGTGAAAGACAAATGAGTATGGAAAAGTGTCTCCTAATATGTATCCAAATAATGATCCCAATGTATAAAATTTTATTTAAATATGTCTTTAAATATGGAGAGATTTCAAGACAGGATGAAATGTTGAGTGTCTAAAATGATAACTGGTCTTTTGACAAGCACTTGTTGAGCACTTCTAAGTATTAGACAATAAAACATGATGAAGAGTGCCTGTCCCGAAGGAACTTGCAGTCTCCTGGGAAGAAAGGCAGGTCGGCAGGTGTGGTGGTGTTGCTGCTGTGGGGTTAGGTGGAGGGTGCTCTGTGACACAGACAGTACTTCTCCAGGGAGCCCTGAGCCCCGGAGGTACAATGCTTTACTTTGATTTCAACCTGATCGAACTGAGAGAGGGCTAGGAAATTAGGAAGGCAGCTTCTGGGTGTGTCGGGCGTGGCCGTGAGGGCGTTTCCAGAGATGATTGGCATGTGGAACAGCAAACTGAGTGGGGAGTCCCGCTCCCATTTCCAGCACCATCCAATAGGGTGGGGGCCCAGATGGAATAAAAGTCTGAAAGATGGAGGAAGCCAGCTTAGTCTCTGCCTCTATCTCTCTGTCTCTGTCTCTTGTTTGTCTCTCGCGCAAAAATAAACTTCATTCTGGATTAAGCCACTGTTACTTGTGGTCTCTGATACTTGGCAGTTTTGAGCAATTTTTAACTGATAAACTTTCTCTTATGTATGTTATGAGGACTAAATGACTCGATGTTTTTCAAACATGTCACTGGGCCCATCATAAGTGTGCATGATAGTATTGATTCTCATTCCTGGACAAAGGAATTAAGGAAATTGCTGTGGCTTCCCGTAGTCATTTATCGCTTACCCAAAATAAGTGTGTTCATTACTACAGAGTAGCAAATGCAGGTCTCTCCAAGTGGAGACGGAGAGGAAAGAAAAGAGAGGAAGAGAGGAAGCAAGGGAAGGAGGAAAAAGAAGAAAGGGGGCTGGGGCTATGGGTCAGCACTGGAGCACTTGCCTAGGACATGTGAAGTCGTGGATCCCATCTCTAGCATCAAAAATAAGGAAATGTATCTCCTCAAGGTCTTTACTGCTAATATTCCACTAACAAATGAAAAACTACCCAAAAGTGGGGAAAAGTTACTTGTTTTCTAAAAGAGGCCAACTGTATTTCAAGTGTCAACTAAAGTTGTTGGGAAACCGTCTTCCCTTGTGCTACACTCCCCCTCGGAAGAAGACCTCAAGACTTCTCCAGCAGGTGTCTAGCCCTTCACTCAACCAGTCATTTCATCTTATCAAGCAGGGCAGGAGAAAATGGGTCCTTCCCACTAAATATGCTACTGCTGTTCCACATTCCTTTACTCTGCAAAAACCACTCTACTTTAGAGGAAGGAAGGGCTTTCAGACTTTAGTTTCCCAAAGGCTTCGTTGGTGCGGGGGTGGGGAAAAGTGAGTTGTAACTTGCTCAAACTCCACTCAAAGGAGCAGGGTGGCCCTTGCCCCGCCACCAGAGCCGTGTCTGGTGTCTACCGCGGTGACACTGGTCTTCCTCAGGCCTCCACATTGGGATGCGTGTGGGTAGGGTGTCGGGGCTGACTGTGCACGTGTGAAGATTGTAAAGGGAGCCTGTGCTCCAAGCGGCTAAGAGGGCCCTCTATCTACGGTTGGTTAAGATTATCCGGAAAGCATTTTCATCAAATCTTCTCAGGTTTCAGCCAAAAGTTTCATAAAGAGAGACGAGGATAGAATATTTCAGAGGTGGATGTGAGGAGTGTGAGAGAGAGACACAGAGAGAGAGAGAGAGACAGAGAGACAGAGAGAGACACAGAGACAAAGGGAAAGAGAGAAAGAGAAATTGAAATCTTAACTCTGAAATTGTCCCATCTGGTGGGTCTGGGGCCTAGAGGTCCCCAGATTCACCGTCGCTGGGCTTGTCTCTTTCTCGGATGCAGGAAGAGGAAGAGGAGTCAGAGAAGACCAAAGCAAAGCGAGTGATTTATCACAAGTGTTGTGAGAGAAGGTGGTACAGCCACTGATGGAGCGGGGCTCTGAGCTAAGACACCATTAAGGGTGGCTAACAGTTGGCTTTCATGGGATAGTGGTCTCATCCCACTTCTCTTTTTCCACTTTTCTTTTTGGAAGATCTTTACTTTATTGGTTATTGTTATGTTAAGTGCTCCTAATGGAAAACCACCAAAGGTTTATAAAAGGAAGTTTCCAACCGCGGGGTGCCAGCTCGGCTCCTTTCTCTCTTGAAAGGGGCCCTCTTTAAGGCTAATCCTATAAGGGCCTCCACTGTCCCTACAAAACAGAACACTAGGAAGGCTGAGATCTCTTCCATTCTTTGATTCCTTAAATCAGTCTAAATTCCTTGGAGGAAAGAAGATTGAAAGACAGGAAGGAAGGAAAGAAAGAAGGGAGACAGTGAATAACAGGAGAGAAGATTCTTCACATTCCTTATCAACTCCTACAAATTACAGTGGGAGAGAAACTCAGCCTGGAAGAAATGGGGAGGTTGGGGAAATTCCTCTGAAACTCAAAGGCTCCAATGGAGCTCAAGCTTCATTAATACAAATTATAAAGCATTGTTTGACATTTTATTTTACTGTATTTTGATGTACTGAATTTTTTAGCTAGAAATAATTGGGCCCCTGTAGATCATTTAAAAGCTGAAGAATATGCGTGCGTGTGTGTGTGTGTGTGTGTGTGTGTGTGTGGTGTTTTACAACATCAATAAAAAGAAGGAAATGTTCACACAGCGTTTATCTTCAGCCACCTGCTAAATATCAAGTCCCGTTCCACCCACCCGCAGCAGGAGCGGCAGGCGCAGCTCTACCATGGTACAGGGTTTCCTACCTGTGCTTAGTTCACAGGAAGCTCGCCACAGCCAGTAGCAGGTGGAAGTTGGAGCACTGATGGCCTCTCGGGCTCCGGGACAGCCTA